TTAAAATCAGTAGTTCAGTGATTACAATATTAATATGATTGTATTTTGATGTTTTACTATAATATTGTCTTAATACTGCTCTATTGTTGTAATATTTTGCAGTTTGGTGTCAATAATTGTATTGGCAATGTGACCTCTTTCTGCACACATACAAACCAACCCCTGCCACCACCTTCTGCCACAGCTCCATTGGTCTATTGGTCTAATGGTCTATGTCATGGACTTTCATGTGGGAGATCAGGGTTCAAAACCCAACTAATGCAACTTTAAGAAAAAATCTCTTCAAACTTCATATTGTCACACAATTACCTWAATTACAAACACCTGCTGATGTGACAGGCACAAGCTGGTATAGAAAACACATTTGAACTTGGTCAAAGTTCATTCTGCAAGTCCAATGCTGCAGGCAAAGCTATGCTACATGGCAATGCACACTTGTTTTTACATCGTAGAAACCCATGTCTAGTTTTATTTTTGTTTTTGATGCTCATTTCTCCTCAGGTTCATTTTATTACCGGAGAAGTCTGGTCCACGTCGCAAGTAAGTACCAACCAGATGTCGCTCAACACAACCATCTCCCCTCCCAAAACAGAAACACAAAGATAAAAAGTGGGAAATCKATATCGGACGTTAATATCRGCCCAGTTTTACATTTCGGACTGATACCGATATTAATGCCGATATATCGCGCATCCCTAAACTTAACTATGATGAAAAATCCAAACTATTATAACCTTGGTAGTGACTGGAATCACTGGATCTTGGACAGAGGAAGTCCACATGAGCTGGACTCTCCCTTAGAGGTTTTCCAGGAGAGACTCAGAGTGGAACCAGGAACGGTGGTTCATCTGGACAGGATGGACCCTGGACACTTCCTTAGGGAGGTGTTCTGGAACTGGGAGGAGACCATGTCTCTCGGCTGGTCTGGTAACACTTTGGGATCCCCCCCCAGGAGGAGCTGGAGAAGGTCTCTGAGGAGAGGGAGGTCTGGGTTTCTCTCCTGGACCCAACAGATAAGAGGTGAGGATGATGATGGGAAAGGTGGAGAATCAGACCATCTGGGGTTGAAGGGGAACATGGAGGATAGAGATGTGACATTCGCAAACGATCCGAATCTTTTTAACGGCTCTTTACAACAAACGATAGGAGCCGAATCGCGGGCAGTAACGAGCCATTTGTAGTTTTATTTCTTTATTTTTTCATACTTAAATCGCTCCCGCTTTGCTTTTTCACAGAAAACAGGCGGAGTTGTGCAGTACAGAAGCTCACAGTGAAAGGGGGAGGGGTGTTTCTGATTGACAAACACATGGTTCCACCCACGTGACGGGATGACGTCATTACGTACGGCTACGTGGTGACGTATTTCCCTACATGATGACGTAATATGTTCAAAATCGAACAGCTCTTTTGAACAGCTCTATGAAAAAAACGGCTCCCCAAGATCCGGATCCCTTCAAAGAGCCAATTATCCCATCTCTAATGGAGGAGCTGCCCACATACCAAATAAGGCACAGGAAGAGGAAGTTGGGTTATTGGGTCTTTTCTCAGTGAAACCTCCTTCCTGTTCCGAGTTCTTCGATTAACGATTAGAAGCTCAAACGACGAACCAACGCCTCTTCAGGGCCTGCAGGTAARAACTTCACCGCTGTAAGATCTCAGTCCGTTACGGCTCGACTGAGGCGTCGTCTTCGCAGTTCGTCTTGTTTTTCTCCTCGTATTTTTCGCCGCAGGAAGGATTCCCAGCAGCAGCTCCGTCCCCTGACCGCTCCGGCTCCGTACGAGGCCGATGATCTGATTAACGTCTGAAGCTCCTCCACCTCCTCCGACGCTCCGTCGACCCAAAAGACACTCAGCGGCCGCAGCTCGGAGGTGAAGTGTGACGCCCGCGAACACGTCGGTGCGAATCCCCCCCAGCTAATTACTCAGACAATTAACTTGATTAAGAGTAAATTGTTTCTTTTCTTCCTGCTAACTCAACGAGTTGAGCGGGGAACACAGCGGAGCTTCTCACCTTCACTACAGGTAGTTTTTAACAGATGATCTGATTAAATCTTGTCCCGCTGCACAGATTAGCATATTCATGAGTTTCTGAATAGATTTTGGAAAAACTTTCTGCCTCCGTTTCTTTGAACGAAGGACTTTTACTGCAAACAAACGTTCTTTTGACCTGAAAGAGTCCTAAAACCTGAAGAAAAGAAATCAAACTTTAACCCCGTTTAGTCCCGCCTCTAAATCAACAGTCTGGTTTCTCCGTCAGAAACGATCCTCGGGACGTTGTGGTGAACCTGGATCATCCTGGACGTCAGCCGGCGTCACGTCCCCCTCACCAGGTCAGGTCCACGTTCATCTCAGAGAGACACTGGGCCAGGTGGCCGTCCCGGTCCATCTGGGTGGACCTGCAGAGACCAGAACACGGTGAGGATTTCAGAACACTGATCAGAACAGAAACCTGAGACGGCTGCGTCCTCGGCTCCTACCCAGCAGGGAACGGCTGTAAACACATGGGGCAGCTCTGAAGCTCTTCATCTCTTCCTGCACTCTGCTCCTCATCGTCATCTTCATCAGCAGGAAGTGACGGAGCAGAAACCGTCAGCTCTCGGCTCGTCGATCTGGATGCTGCTGCCTCCTCTCTCTGCTGCTGGAGCTGAGGAGAGGCTGTCAGGGGGGTCAGACCCTTTCCAGGTGGGTTCAGACCCTTTCCAGGTGGGTTCAGACCCTTTCCAGGTGGGTTCAGACCCTTTCCAGGTGGGTTCAGACTCCTGTCAGGTGGGTTCAGACCCTTTCCAGGTGGGTTCAGGCTCCTGTCAGGTGGGTTCAGACCCTTTCCAGGTGGGTTCAGACTCTTTCCAGGTGGGTTCAGACTCTTTCCAGGTGGGTTCAGACTCTTTCCAGGTGGGTTCAGACCCTTTCCAGGTGGGTTCAGACCCTTTCCAGGTGGGTTCAGACTCCTGTCAGGTGGGTTCGGACTCCTGTCAGGTGGGTTCGGACCAGGCTGGAGCTGAACTGGGAGGTCCTGCTGGGAGGGGGCTCGGCTCGGAGGGTCTGGGCTCGGTGGAGTCTTCAGACAGAGCAAAGAGCATTCTGGGAAGGGATCGACTTTGTTGAGGTCACCCCACCGCTCTTCATCTAGATCTGGTTCTGATGGTTTCTGCAGAGAAAAAACATTTTTTATTTTAGTCACAAGTAAAAATTAAAACAAAAACAAGCAGAATTATCTTTATTTAATGATGGATGTTCTCTGTTTAGTTAAAATTTTCAAAATAAAAGTCTAAACAAACATTAATCCTGTTTTAGCAGCTCTGGTTTAAAATAAACTGTTTAATAATAAATTCTTCATGAATAAAATCAGTTTTTGTTTGAACAAACAGATTAAAGTCTCATCAGGAGCATCAGATTAGAGTCTGGTTTAAATAAAGTTTAGTTTATTTAGTTTTAAAGAAAACTAAATGTGGCCTCTGCTGTGTTTAACGTCTAATCAGCACATCCACACTTTTAATGAAGTTATTTCTGAAACATTACTTTAATAAGATCATTAATAAAATAAAATCTCACATAAATAAAAACAGCTGGAACTCTGAGAACCACGACTCCAGCAGCATGTTTCTAACGCTGACTTTATTTATTTATTGAATTATTCTTCTTCTTTGTAAGAGTTTGCTTTAAAGTAAAATAATACAGATTAAAGAAAAAGTGTCAGAAAGCAAACAAAACTAGAAAATGTGTAAAACTGAACAAACGTCTCTCTGAAGGTTAAAAACTTCACGTCAGSTTCCTCTGACGCTCCTCTGTTTGATCCACAGGAGCAGAACGTACCGCAGCGGGGGGCAGCGGGAGACCAGGAACCGGGTCCCAGAGCTGGATCTCCAGGTTCTGCAGAGCCGACTGCAGCGTGAACGCCCACAGGCTCTGCACAGCGGGGGGCTGCAGGGTCCTCCACCAGCGTGCTGCTGGAGGGGGGGCTGAGCTGAAACCACATTATTGTTGTTATTTTTATTATTATTATTATTATTATTATTGTTATTATTGTTATTGTTATTATTATTATTGTTATTATTATTATTGTTACATCAACACACAGTCCTGACCCAGATCAACACTTCTACAGGTTTATTGAATGTATTTAAAATTTAATTTGTAGGTTTTTCTTTTCGATGCATTTTTAATCAATAAGTTTATTCATGAGATACTTTGATCTGATTCTCTGAGCCTCTTTTTGTTAAAAAAATAGAAAAAATTCAAATGTAGACGTTATCCTGCATAAATTGAAATCTTCTGTTTGTGTTTTTCTGGGTTATTCTGATTTTGAAATTTGTCAAAATTCATATTTCGTGTCCGGTTGTGAAGCTCTCAGGTTAAATGTTGTAATAATTTGTCCATAAATCTAATTTATAATCTTGTAATAGTAAAAAACTCTGAAAATCATCTGCAAACCAAAGAAAATTTGTTAGATTTATATTTTGTATAAATTTTAAAACATGTAAATGACTGATTTTATCATTTTCAGATTTTTGACAAATATGAAATAATTTTCCAAACTAAAAGAGCTGGATAATACCACCTAATTCTGATCACATGTTTGTTTTTATTATTATTTTTATTGCTATTTTTCTGTTGTTTTTATTTTATCTTTTTTTAAAGTGGGAAATGTCTGCGTGCTTTTATATGAATGTATTTTTATTTTTCCTCGGGGTGTGTAAAGTGATATATAAATAACGTTTTGGTTTATTGAAGTTTATAAATGTTGAATTTAGGACAGTATTTTATCCTGAAACGCTTTAACAATTATGTTTTAAGCTAAATAAAAGTCTTTTCTCCTCTCTTTGCGTTTGAACTCAAATTAAACACAAATAATATTTTAAAAATAACCTTAAAACTCATCATAAAGTTTCTATCCGGCTATAATAAAACATTAGCTTAATGACATAAATGTGCTGTTTTTAAATCACTAACCCAGCCGTGTTTGCTCCTCCGTCACCGGGTGAAGACGTTAAACTGCTCCTCTTCGCTCCCCGGGAGAAAACCTCGGACCGAAACTCTTCTGCAGAAGATTTTTTACGTTTAAGTTTGGATTTTGAGTAAATTTCTGCCATTTTTTCCCTTCAAATTTCCGCGCTTGATACTTCCGAGTCTTGATGCGTGACGTCACAGACGTAGTCCAACCAGAAGCGAGGATTTGGCTCCGCCTTGAAGCAGTCTGGTCCAATCAGGTGAAGGCACTGAAGTGATTGACAGTCATGGAGTCCAGTTGTTTTGTGATCTCTGTTAATTTTATAAAAAGTCCCGAAAAATAATGAATGTAAAAGTTTAATTTTAGATAAATGGACATGAAAATAAATCTTTAAGTGTTTAAACTTTTTTTAATAGTTAAAGTTGTTTAGTTTTGATGTTCATCTTGAATTAACCAAATATTAATCCTGTCCATCCATAAGACAGTCCACAGGAAGTTGTCCAATCTGTCTATGTTCAGGACTTTATGTCCTCAGACTCTAGATTGGATCTAGTTTTTATGAGTGGTTCTGGCTCTGGTTCTGGTTCTGGCTCTGACTCTGGTTCTGGCTCTGGTTCAGTCCTCTGATGGTTTGGATCAGCTGGTGGTCCACCATGGATGATGTCATCCATCAAGCTGACCTTTGACCCCAGCACAGCCATGTTTGAAATATTCTAAACTGGACTCAGAACCAGAACCAGATCCTGGAACCTGACTCTTTGAATGTGGACCTGGATGTCTCCAGTCCTGCTGACAGGTTAAAGGAGGTTCTGTCCGAGCAGAACCCTGCCGGTTCTGTTCTGGTTTCCTCTGCAGGGGAAACTCAGAGTCATGGTGTTTTCTGGGGCTTTCTGGGCCTTTTCAAGCTGTTTTGGCCCAAAGGAGCGGAGCGGGACCAACGCAGAGCGGTTCTGATGGAGCTGTGGAAACAAACAAAAAATAAATAAAAAAACAAGAACCGGGCTGGGAGAGCTGGACCGAGCCGAAGGAAAAGAACACAACATGGCTTTTTTCTTTAAAGAGAATCTGCAGCTTCGAACCTGGAAACTGCTGGACCCGTCATGATGTTGCGTAACATCAGCCGGGCCGGACCAGGCCGGGCTCCAGCGGTGGTACTCTGGGAAAAACTCGGTCCAGCAGTCCTGGAAACATTACGTCACGCTCCGCTCGGAGTGATGCTGTGTTGTTCTCCGTTACTGTGGTGACGGCGAAGATGCCTCTGCGTCTGAGGAGATGAACACCTGCTGCGACCGTCAGAACAACAAGACCCACAGAACCAGGACCGAAGTGTTCTGACAGAACCAAACATCAACACTGAGGTTCTGGACAAATCATGACTCAGCAGTTTTTGGAAACATCTCTCAGYGTCAGTCAGAGGAACTCTGAGGTCATCCAGTCAGCCTCAACTATTGCAGTTAGTAAAAACCAGTGTTAAAATGTCAGCGTTTAACTTTTGAGTGTTGATTTAACACCCCCTGGTGTTATTTTAACACTTTCTGAGTAAACTGACTCCCAGTGTTGGTGTTAACTCACAGTGTTGATTTCCTCAGTGTTGTATCAACACTGGACAGTGTTAAATAAACTCCGCCCACTGTTAAGTGTTACATAACTCTTAACAGTGTTGTTATATGACACCATGCAGTGTTGAAAGAAGTATTCTGAAAAGCCCTGCCCTCCTCCACCTCATGTCAGACAGACCAGTATTTTCACAGCAAGGAATGCTGGGTAATCTTGTAGAAATGATGTTTTTGTATGTTTATGACTAATAAAGAAGGTCCTGAGAGTAGAAATTAGTTGTTCCAGTTAGTTGTCTTGTTCAGGTTTATCCGTTGATCAAGTTTAAGTTGTGTTATTGGACATAAATCGACACCATGAGTGAGAGGTACTTCCTGGTGTATGAAGGTCGACTCCATTGTACTTATCCAGAAATTACAGAAATTACTGTGTAACTCTCATTAGACTTATTTGACTTGTAGTGTTAAGTTTTTTTAACACTGCACAGTGTTAGTTAGTGTTAAGTCTATTAACACTGCACGTGTTAGTCAGTGTTAAGTTTTGTTAACACTGCACAGTGTTAGTCGTGTTAAGTTTTGTTAACACTGCACAATGTTAGTCAATGTTAAGTTTTATTAACACTGCACAGTGTTAGTCCGTGTTAAGTTTTGTTAACACTGCACAGTGTTAGTTAGTGTTAAGTTTTATTAACACTGCACAATGTTAGTCAATGTTAAGTTTTATTAACACTGCACAGTGTTAGTCCG